TTAAAAAAAAAAAAAAATGGAGTTTACAAAGAGCTTGTGTTAGCATGGAGAAATACACTGTACTATGAACTGAGGAAAAATCAAAATACTAAATTATATCTACAGTATGATTTCTACTTTGTTAGAAAAGAATACAGAGAAGACAAGTGGAAACAAAATATGCAAAAAACATAATCAGAGTTGTTCAATTGTATGATTATCAATCTTTTTTATATTTTTCAGTGCTTAAATTATTTTCTATTTGTGTAATTTTTATGAGCCAAAAAAGAAAGTAAGATTTTAAGAAGAAAAAATTTAAAACAGAAAGAAAAAAATTTACTCTTAGGTTTTACTTGGGCAAGTTTTCTGGGGGGAAAAAAGGTCTTAGGACTAACTCTCAACAGATCACAGCCTTTAACCTAATGTTTTTTGGCCCACTGCAGGATGGCTTGGAAGCATCTGCCAAGATGGTCAGGATACTCAGCAACAGCTAAGAATCCAAATTCTAAAATATGCTAAGTAAGCTAATTAATATCAAAGGTCCTTACCCAGCTTTTTTTCCTAGGAGCATGATTCATGGTAAGTTTGACTCTTACAGTCCTCAAACCACCCAACTCCTTAAAATGCAACAAAGGATACATATTCAAGAATGTCATTTGAATAAGGGTTCATCGTTCTAGACAGAGTTGCAATTGGGTAACTATAAGCTGCAAAGAGAAGAAAAAGCTTAGGATGTTTGCAGCTCTCAGTACAACTTGGCCCCAAATTCCCGGCTGGTTTAAAGTCTAAAAGCTCAAAGAACCATATTTGCAAAATCAACGAGCCATAAACCTAAATACTTTTTTGAGAGAAGAGAAAAGGACACTGAACACAACAGGAAGCTTCATGTCACCATTTCGGACATTTAGCCCCGGGCCCCAGAGCCATCCGAGAATGTCACCAGCCTGTCTCAGAGCATTATGGCAGAGCCAACTTCCAGGTTCCCATGATGGATCCAGCTAACAAAAGATTTCCTTAACTGCTGACCCTGGGATGTGGCTCAAGCCTGCCTAGACTCCAGAACGGGCTCTGTTCTTGGGAGTGAGACACGAGAACGCCTTCGCACTCTTACCTCCAATAACGTGGCACTGCTGATAAGAATCTCTGTCTCGCACATCTAGTAGCAGGAAGGGGCAGTCAGGATAAGGTTTGTCTTTGGTGTTGGGCTCTGCTTTCTTCACTAGCCCTTTGTCTAGATCCAGTTCCCCAACACCACTGATGACACTGCACGTGAAAAGTAGGTCGGCAGAAACTAGTCAGGGGTGAGTGGCTTCAAGGTCAAATGCGTTTCTTCAGAATAGCCAGAGAGGGCTCAGTGTCTTTTCAAAGGACACTTCAAAGAAAAAGGAAAATGGATATGGTGTCTCAGTTCTGCCTCTGAATGCCCGACCGTATGGACTCCCATTCTGTCACACTGGACCCTGAGGAAGGGACCCACGTGTCCATCCATACGCACCTTCAGAGAATGCATGTTAGGTCATTAGCATGGCTGAGGGGGCAGAAACCGTAGGGCACATGCCGCCTCCAGCAACAAGGGCAGCGTTCAGAGAAAGAAAGAGGCCAACAGTTAATCTAAGGGAATTGTGAGGAGTGTAAGAAAGCAGACCAAAAGGGGAAAGAATCAGGCTGGTAGGACAGGAAAAATGAAGGCTTTCTATGTACATTAGATGTAACATAAACCAACATCGATTAATGTATCTCATCTACTTACACAGCGACCTAGCCGATACGTATTTTGAATCTTAATGTTTTCAATAGTTATCTGTACTTACTCCCGGTTTATAGGTGACAGTGTTGAGGTTGAAGAGGCTTTTAGATTTGGTGGCATTCATATAATGAGACAGAGGAAACACTAGGATTAAATGAACGAGCTTCCTATTGACAGTTCTGTTTCTAAGGTCATAAAACTGGTCACCATATTAAGATTACAGACAAAATGTGGTAAAAAATATGAATCAAAGGCTTAAGAGGAGTGGCTGTTATGAATAAAATGGCAAGGAGTGAAGTATCTGTAGTGGAATAAGAGGACGCCTTTCCCAGGCAACTCTGAAGACGTGTGTGCCCGACCACACACGAGTATGGCCTGATGGCTCCTCTCCCAGCGTGGCAAATCCAATCCTGCACTTAGACCCGATAAATGCTGTAACTAGATGCCACAGAGTGCACAGGAGAAGAAGAAAATCTATTTCCTATGAAACTGCATCCTCAATGGAAGTCTTATTGGTCTGTGTCGCTAATTCCAATTTTAGAGTTCTTGCGTAAAGTAGTTATAAAAAAACAAGAGCGGTCCTGGGGGCGCCTGGGGGGCTCGGTCGCTTAAGCGTCTGCCTTCAGCTCAGGTCATGATCTCAGGGTCCTGGGATCGAGCCCCGCATCGGGCTCCCTGCTCAGTGGGGAGCATGCTTCTCCCTCTCTCCTGCCCCTCCCCCACTCATGCGTGGGCACGCATGCTCTCTCTCTCAGATAAATAAATAAAATCTTAAAAAAAATAACAGTGGTACTGATGATAGGAATTGCTTCCCTCGCAGAACTAGTTTCCCTGGTACAACTGTTTTGCCAGTAGAAGGGATAGTCGTGCGCCAAAAATCATCCCCATCTTATAATCAACACCTAATATCTGCGAGAAAGCGTTGCATCATAGTCTTCGCAGAAAGAAGGACCAGTCCCGTGCAGTTTGAGAACTCACTCCAAAGGCTGCTTTCGTGCTCCTTTGCACCTGCGTTAATATCAGAGCACGGCGACTGGCACTCTATTTTTCTTCTGATTGCAGACAGGGTAATTATAAGCTGCAGCAGACAGAAAAGGGGGCAGGAGTGGGAATCAAAAGATAGTAGTTGTAAAGCTAAGTCCTAATAGCAAACCTGCATCCAGGAAGGCTGAGAAGGATGGAATTCAGGAGTGAAAATTAATGCTCTCCTATCAATATACTCTTACCTTCACTAAGATGCTGTGAAAAGAGTCAGGCGGTGGCATTCATATCAAGAGAAAATTAGAAGGGCTGGGGTGAAAATGTGGGACTTGACTACTGCCAGTCTGTTTCTCCGGTGATTAAATCACCGAAACTGGTATCCAAAGGAGTATGAAGTAAAATGCAGGGAAAACATAGATCCGATGAGCGTACCTCTGCAGAGTGGAGCGACTGGAGTCCCCGGCTCCCGCGCTCGTTATGAACTGCATGGGGCTTGGCGACTGTTCCCCGGGGCTCCCCTTCCCGTTGGTCCTGGCACCGATTTCCCCGTCGGGCTCTGAAGTCGTCGAAGAGTCATTGTCTAAGATTTGCAGAGGGATAAATAAGTAAAGTTGACCTCCGAGTTTATTCACGGCAGTCCCACTGAAATTAGGTCAAGACAAGGAAATCCTATCACAATTATTAAATTGTCCTGGAAGTTCTACCACCTAGGACCCCAGGAGTCCCCGAGACCCTGTCAGGGGGACCCGCAAGGTCTCTTCTACTATGTTCATATTTGCACGAATGGTGCCAAAGCAATGGGGGCTAAACCTGTGAGCACCTGAGCAACAGTGGGGCAGAGGCACCGAGTTTTATTAGTGAGCTTCATATTTTTCACCAATATGTACGCGCTCGAGAAATAAATACGGCAGTCACGTTTTAAAAAAGTCCCCAATGGAGCCATAATCATAATTCTATTAAATCTCATCTTTAAGTACACACCTTTTGAATATTCTGTGTGATGAAATAGGGAGTCCGCATATAGCAAGTCGGCTCCACCCCAAGATAGCATGGTTGTCTCAAGGCAAAGTATTAGTGTGATTAGGGCTGCTTTTGCCCTGAACACCACTTTTACTTGGAAGGAAAACTGACAGAAAAATTATAGTTACTTAGACTTGTGCATGTGGCAGACATTTTCTCAAAAATGATCTAAGCGAACTGTCATTTCAAGGAAAACAACTGATGGTATTGGTGTAAAGATTCAATTTTGACCAAAAATCAGAATTTTGGAAACCGTGTTCTCCATCAGGAGCTTGACTGCCTCCCTGTACTTAATGACTTTTCTGATAAGATAGGTGGTGAGATTAATAAATATGATTTTTTTGTGGATATTGTGTAATGAATGAAATTTGTCAATGTTTGGAAGATCTTCATAACTCCGTGAATCAATCTTTTCCAAATGACCATTGAATGATGTTATAAAATCATGCATGGGTAAGAAGATTAATTCAAAGTGCAAGACAGACCAGTGGGTTTAATGGAACAGAGTACTAAACATGCATTGATATGGTTTCAGATTCCACATTACAACTAACCTTTAAGAAGCTACCAGTCGTCAAGTTTTAGTATGGTATCAAAGATATGTATCCACAATTATCTGGAAGGGTTATTAAAAGAGTCTCCCTTTTTCAACTACAGGTCCGTGTGAGGCTAGATTTCCTTCATGTACTTCAACCCAAAGAGCATATTGCAACAGATTGAATGCAGAAGCCATGAGAATCAGCTGTCTACTATGAAATCAGACATCGAGACTTAAAAAAAAAAAAAAAAGTAAAACAATGCCATGCTCAGTAAACTTTTTGTTTTGGAAATACAGCTATTTTGCATAAAAATGTTATTTATGTTTGCAATGGGTTCAGTATCACTATTTGTAAATGAAATAGTAAATAAATATTTTTAAGTTCTCAGTTAAAATTTTTAATATCCTAAATATTAATAGGTATAATGCACATAAACCAAAATTCTTTGAGGTCCTCAATTTAAGAGTGCGGAGGGAGACTGTACCAAAAAGTCTGGGAATTTGCTATTCTAACTAGTACAATGAGAGAAGAAAGCTTAGTTATTAAAGAGGATACTAACATTTATTTTGCATATGATATATAATACCTAGAAACTTCAGAAGAATCCTATGAGAATAAGGGAAATAAGTATGTGGTTAGCTTAAAAAAAGAAATACTAACAAACTACTTTTCTTATACGCCAATTAGAAAGGAATATGACGAGCATCTCATTTACAGTAACAACTGCAAATATAAGATATGCTCTCCTCGAAAATAAGCCTATTAAGACATGTAAAGGGCCTGTAAAAACTTACATCCTTTATAGGTCTTATAAAAATTTTACTTAAGAGACATTAAAGACAACCCGAATGAAGACAGTGATGTACTTTCACATTCCTGACTGGGTGACTAAAAGTGAAATGATGTTAATCCTTTCCAAACTTAATTTTTAGCCCTAAACCAATCCCAACGGGATTTCTGGAAAGCTTAAAAGGATTTTAAAGATGAGAATGAAAAAAATTTATATATATATATGTATATATATATATATAAAATATTATATATGTATATACTTATTGCATATTTATATACACACACACAGACACACATACATACATATGGGTAATTTAGAGAATATGCCTTAGCGAATAGTAACATATATTGCAAAGGTAAATGATCAAAACAATGCTGAACCACAAACCAGAACAACAGTATATGAGAACACAGAAACAAATCCCAGAATATATATAAAAAGCTAACATAAATGTTAAAGGTAACATCACAAACCAGTGGGTAAAGGGAGAACGAGTGAATACATGGTGGTGGGATATTGTGCCAACTATGTAGAAAAATCGAATTTAGAAAACCCCCTCACATCATATACCAAAATATTAACAAAGAGATTGATGTAGGAAAACAAACAAAAAACAAAACCACCAAGCAAGCTAATAGAAGAAAATATAGGTGAATAGTTGATCTTATTTTGGATTTTATGAGCCTAAGGCAATAAAAGAAAACACAACATGAAAGGCTAATAGATAAAATCTCGTAAAAATGCAAACCTTGTGTATGTCAAAAACCAACATGAAGAAAGTTAAAAGGTGAGTAACAAATTAGGAAAAATATCTATGACCTAGATGCATGAGGAAAGGTTAATATACTTAATTCACAAAGCATTTTTTAATTAACTAGTGCTTTAATTGAAAAAAGATCCTGTGCATAAGGTAAAAATGCAAACAAGATAAAACTATTAATACAGAAAGGAAGTCCCTTCCCACTGCAGACCCGTAGGCCCTCAGGCCTCCTCTCCCAAGGGAACTACCTTCACAGATTTATGTCTTTTTCCAGAAATAAAACAACTACAGACTTTTGCATCTATTTTATTTCTTCCCCTTTTAACGTATCAGGAGAATGCCACTCACACTGCTCTACACTTTGGTTTTTTGTTTTGTTGTTTTATTTTTACTTAATGATACAGCTTGAAAACTGTTCCAAATCATTAAGTAAAGCTTTTTCTCATTCATTTTCAAGGCTGTACTGGTTTCCAATGTTTAAAGATATCCTAATACACAGAGCTTTTACAAATCAGTAAAAGATGAACGTTCCATGAGGGAAAAAAACTGGGGAAGGACATGGAATGTGCTCAGAAGAAATAGGTATGACCAATAAACAGACAGATACACAAAGCTCAATTTCATGATCAGAGAGATTCAAAGGAAAATTATTAGATACCACTTTCATCTATCAAATTGGCAAACGTTTGCAAAAATGATAATTACTCAGCATTGCCTAGGATGAAGAGAAACAGGTCTTCTCACTTATTTGTTGGGAATGCAAACAGGAAGAACCATTCTGGAGATAATGTGGAATCAGCATTGAGCATCTTAAAATGGTTCCACCCTTCAACCATCTGCAGCAATTTATCTTCAGGGAATAATCAGACGCACACAAACGTTTATGTATTTACGTTAGGGTATTGTTTTATAAAATTGAAAAATTAGAAAAACCGTAATGTCCAATAGGAGAATAATTAAATTATGGTATAGCCACAGGACAGGCATTATATGACAACACAACCTTCACAATTCAGCTTTTGAAGTCCATTTAATGACATAGGATAGTATGCATGATAAAGTGTTAATCTGAAACAGCACAATTCAAAAGTATACACAAAGAATACGGATTTGGGTGGGCAGTTAGGTAGGGGGGAAAATAGAGCAAAATGTTAGCAGGGATTATTATTTTAATTTTCCTTATATGTATTTTTTGCAGTTTTCTAATTTTCTAGAAATACACTTTTAAGTCAGGAAAAAACAGTAAACATTACAAAAGGAGATTTTTTTATTCCTTCAAAAATAGCCAATATGCATACAATCTGTTCTACAGGCATTCCTGAGTGAGTTATTATTCTGTGTAGAGCACTAGAAAAACACTAATATTACTCACACATTATGGTGTCCTACTTTATAAGAGCCTATTTTGCTGTGCAAATTCATCTCAGAAGAGAAAATTGCATGTGCCCATATGTTCCAGTGCTGCAATTGCAATGAATTAAAGGACCAAATCCAGGTACTTATATAACCAGGTTAAAATTGGGAGTACTTCTATGAGAAGACTCAATTATCTCTGATACAAAGAGCCCTTATTTCTCTGCCATGAGAGGTATCTGTCAAAGATAAATTCCTGTCTTTGTCAGGTGCTCTTTATCCTCCCTAACAAAAACAAGTCCAGGGAGATGACAGTTAAGTTGCACAAAACCAGGGCTCGGACTTCCTGAGAAACTTGTCTTGAAATCAGAAGTCAAAGTCCTGGCCTACATCAACCTTCACAGAACACATTTCCCTTCAGTAAACAGCCACACATTGATGGTTGAGTACCTCAGGATAAAATAAAGACCTTAACTCTATGTATTCTTTTCATGACAGTACAACTAAGGGGTTTTATTTTCGACTCGGCATTTCAGAAAGGAAACCTGGAGCTAGAAGCCTATCTTCCTAGCCCTATCTCCGACCCAGCACCCATGCCTCCCCCAGACGGCTGCCAGGCGGGATGACGCATTCCCCAAACTCGCTTGCAGCTTCTCATTCTCCGCATGCCTTTGCTCAGGTTGCAAGAACTTCACCCTTAACTTGCACCTGTGAGATTCTACCCTCCTTTCTGGCCCAGTTCAAAAGCTCTCAGAAAGCCTACCTCAGTTTTCTAACTGGAAAGTGCCTTTCCTTCCTCAGAACTCCCACAGCAAAGGCATTGGTTGTTACCAGACACTCGTAGATCTGTAACCCGGGCCCATTCCTTACCGGCTGTCTCACCTTAAGCAAGTAATTTAACCTCTGAGGCTTGGGCTTCTCATCTCTAAAGTGTACCTTCTAGAGTTTTTGATAAGAAAACTTGAGTGAAGTACTTAGCAATATATATTCAACAAATGATGGCTTCTCCCTAGTCCTCCATTATGAATTTCTGCCACGTTCGTGATTTTGTGCTTCTGTTATCACTCTCCTCATCCAACACGCATACGTGTGTGCACGTGCACACATGTGGCTACCAACTCTCTGTAAGCAGAGCTGGGCGTTACTCATCTTTGTAGTCTCCTAGCACCTCATACTGAGACCTGTGCATATATAGAAGGCACTAAAAATATTTGTTGGAAAAAAAGTAATCAGTATATTAAACACATCAAAAACATTTAAAACTACAAATGTTAGAGCCAGAAAACCAGATGGCTTTTCAAAAGAAATAAGAATTAACAATTAAAGCACCAGGTACCATTTCTCAGAGAGTAACAATCTAATTGCAAATAGATCCATCAAAGTCCCAGTTCCCTGTGAACACAACAGCAAAGGCGGACAGGGTGAGTACCTTCAGTCAAATGGGCAATCGTTTATTTGCCCCACATCCTCAATTCTCATTACCTTCTAGCCTTTGAATCTCTTCAGCTGTCACTTCCAGTGTTTGATCAGATAGGGAAGCAACTTGGATGACCTGATAGAAGAAAGAATGAAATGTATAGATGCCTGTATGTCTTTAAACAGAGGCAGTTCTGTCTTTTATAACAGACGAGGAAACATCAAAGATCTCTTGGTTTAAGGGACTGTCAGTGTCCCCCACTGGAGACTAAATCTCAGGCCTCCTCATTTTGGGAATGGTAATCATACCGCAGATGATAGTTCCAGAAAAAAAAAAGATTCATTTAAAACATCACATAATAAACTTAAAAGGCCAAAAGGACAATTTAGGATAAGAAACGTGAATAAATAATCATATATATTTCAGTCTCAACACGCAGTACTTACAATGACAGAATTGAATCAACAATTCTGCATGCAATGAAGAAATAAATATAATTATGAGTATATGTATCACAACACTGTATACCTACACACAGTTTTTAAAGCACTTTTCACAGTTCAGCTCCTAAGACCCAAGATCCACCTTGAGGTACATCAATGAAACTCATGTTTGGGGGCCAGAGAGACACTTTGCCCCTAATTTTCAAATGAAAGAAGAAAGTGACTTTCCGAAAGTAACAAAATAGCCCATGGCAATCACCTGGTTTCACAGAGAAAAATGTCCAAACAATCCAGAGACCAGAATTCTAGATTCTAAATATTAAAGCATGCAAGGAAAAAAAATAAAACCTAAACCATAAGTGTGATGAGTTAAAGGTGGAATGTACACTTTACTTTATCAAAGACTGTTCATACTACCCTTGAATGAGCACACACACCACGCATCAATCTTCCCATAGGTGAAATGTAAAGAATCAGAAGAAACCCTTCTGCAAACATTACTTAGCCGTGGAATTTAGAAATACTCACATAAACCAGCACAAATTAGAGTCTTTGCTCCAATGGAGGATCGTTCAACTTACCAGCTGGGCAAAAGTTGTAACTTTTAGTCTCTTGAAAAGCTCATCCTTTTTGTATCTATAATCTGAAAAGCAGGATAGGACAAATAATTTTCTAGGTATATTTTTCTTTCTTAGAGGTACTCATTCTTTCTAGTCGTCAAGTTATGTGGTATAATTTTCAAGTGATTTATATGCTTTTCCATATATTATCTCATATACAATCCTCATGGTATGGTCAAAATTAAGTGTGCCACACATTCTTATCACCTCTTTATTCCCCTTCCCCCGCCACCCCTTGCTTTGGCTGGTAGGAAACCTAAAGTTGAATTTACAAGCCATCCTTTTGTGTCTTGTGACTTTACCCCTTGCATTTATTCTGTCCGCTTACCCTTTTTCCCTTTTACTCTGCTGTCTTTCTTTTGACCACCATTTTTGTAAGCCACTTTAAATCCTTTTCAGAACAAAGCAGGGAATAAACGTCTGCATTTTGCAAATGAGGACAGAGACCCAGAGAAGCTCAGTTGCCCCAGGTCAAACAGGTGGTAGGACATTCACACCCTATTATTCTAACTCTGCCCTGAAGGGAGACCGGTTCTGTTCCTGAGGTTACAAATTATGCTGGAGACATAGGACACTTCCCCCCCCCACCTCCCCGGGTACCATGCTGGGCAGAAAGTTAGGCCTGGTCCTGATAATCTATTCTACCAGTTTCTCCACAACTTCACTTCAGTAAAAATCCACCTACTCAGTGTTCCAAGATGAAAAAGTTCCCGAGATCTGTTGTGCAGCAGTGTCATGTTTAAAAATGGTGAAGATGGTAAATGTGATATGTGTTTTTTTTTCTTTACCACAATTAAAAAAAAATCATTCTGAAACATCAATATTTATTCAGTGCTATCTTGACAGTCCTGAGACACAACTCAAATGGGGGCACTTCTACGCCTGTTTGTTATTTTATTTTTTTTAAAGATTTTTTGTTTATTTTTTAACAGAGAGAGAGAGACAGCGAGAGAGGGAACACAAGCAGGGAGAGTGGGAGAGGGAGAAGCAGGCTTCCCGCCAAGCAGGGAACACGATATAGGACTCGATCCCAGGACCCTGGGATCATGACCTGAGCCGAAGGCAGACGCTTAACGACTGAGCCACCCAGGCGCCCCTACGCCTGTTTGTTATTAACAGTTCTTGATATCACATTGACCAGTCTTAAAATTTAGCCAGTCTCACATGACCTAGTATCTGTCCCACAGAGACATGCTAAAAGTTAGCTTCCTTAAAATTTCCTGAAGATGACTGCCAATTCTGAGTTTTCAGCATCGAACTCCCACCCACCCTTACGCTTCCCTTCACTTCTACATTTTTATATTGGCGCCCATGATTCCTTAAGTACTTCCTCATTATTTCCGAATTACTAAAGGTTAGGGGGATAATTACTAAGGCCTTCACAGCATAGAAGTCGCAGAAACGGAGAATCCTAGCAACAAAGGAAAGGATTAAAGGTATTTAAAAGTATTTACCTGGTGTTCCTAATCATTTCCACGAATTTTCCAAAAACCAACACAGAACGAATCCTTTGGAGGATAACGTTAGCTTGGTTGACCAAACACCTTAGGACTCAGAGTCAGGAAGTAATAGTACTTTAAAAACTAGACTTGCGTCACTCTATCAAGACTCCTGTTACAGTGAAGTCAAGCTTCTCTGTTCTCCATGTCTCAAAGAGAGCCATCTGGCTAATAACTAACCATTACTTCTAGAAAATTATCAGAATAGCTTCTTCTGGGTACAACAAGGTAACAAACCTAAATGCAAAGGAACTTCTAAGACCTGCCAGGATGCAGACCCAAGAGGCTGGGCAGAAGCTTTCAAAAGTACAGCTGAATAACCACAGTCTCCTCTCAATTGCCACCAATCTGCCCACCAAAAGTCATTTATATAAATCACAATGGCAATAAATCAGCCAATAAAAAGAGTCAACAGCTTTCAAGTAGCTTGCACTGTGACATTTCTCCATTGATATTCTTTTGGTATAGCTGCATAGTTTCAAATATTTCTCCACTTCTTCACATTCCCAGTACAAAAGGTACACATTCAAATCCCCTTTGACTAAGTAGAAATGATCTCAAATGAAAAACAGGCTCTACTATGTTCTACGGATTGGCATTTCTAGCAATCCTCTCATAGGGGCTGGGCATCCCGCTGCACATTTGAGCCTGAACTCTACATACCTGGTTCTTGTTTAGAAGGACAGCCATCGGTAGGACTTTCTGACATTATTACTCAGAGATAAAAGATCAAACTAGATGTTTTACTAGTAAGTTTTAAAGCTTATAAAAAAAGGCTGACTTGGAAAGCTCTGTCGTTCTGTCCTTGCAAGTGCGAACAGAGCTTTAAGGATGGAGCTTCTGCTACGGTCGCTTCTCCCAAACTCCGGGATGGAGACAAAAAAATCCTAGTTTCAGATACGTTATCAAGTTCTGCTTCTCCAGTAAGTCTGGAGTCTCAGAATGCCTCTCTCGAGTTACTGGAAGGACAGAGACCTGACTATCTAGGATGCTTCACACTGGGTCCAGCTAGTGTCATCTAACCACCAGAAGCCAAGAATAGGCTTTGTGAGCAGTCAATAGACACAGAGTGTCTGTTTTCCCGAGACAGAGTAGAAAGAATATTCAGATTACAAAGGAATTCTGCGTTTTCAGGGTACTGTTAAAACGTGTTACTAGCAAAGGGAAGTTGGGCTCACAGTGGAAGACAAATCAAAGGAAGTAACAGAACAAGGTTTGTGATTTCACAGAAAGACATGGCATCTAAGGTAACCCACGAAAAGTGATGGGTCTAGGATGTCACGAAACAAGGCAATATTCTCCTCCCTTTTGACCCAAAAGAACATCTACAACAGAAAACAGGAAAAGAGAAGGAAATAGCTTCCAAAATGTAGATCTCAAATCAGAATCTGAAATAATTCTAGTCAGGGAATCAGCACAAAGTGTGTGAAACAAGATGAGAGGTACCTCCTGTCTTCCTAAAAGGAAGTCCAAAACTTCTAAAGAGGGAAGCAAACATTTTCAAGGACTCTATTCTAGAGGTATTGGCGGGATTCTGGGGGGCGGTGGAGGGTGGGGAGACCAGCTCCATTTAGAATTTAGATATTAGAGAAACCACATTGTGCTTTTAAGAAATGTTTTAAACAGGGTTCAGCAATCTGGGTGGAACGGAACATTTTCAGGGGACAAATCTTGGTGTGGACATGTGAGCTTACATTAAGCTACGAATGGATAGGAGGCAAAAGGAGATTGCAAGCCCAACCAGAAGCAAGCCAGCTGAATTTTACCTGCTGTGGATGAACTAAGGACAACAACAGTGAAGCATGGGTGAGTAAATGAGATTTTTTTCAAACAGTTTAAAATGGTAATATATACTTAAAGAATATATACTTATGTAATGTAAAATATAATAAAAGTACAAAATCTAATATAAAGGATCAAAGAAGAAAAGGATGGTGTGACATTACCCATGAAAAAACAAACGTCTATAACATTAGCCCTTATAGCTGAACACGGCAACTATCAAGAGTCAGCATAAAGCTGTTCCTGAGTCCACACTATCGGCTGGGGTTTCTTAATACCGCAGCAATTCAAAAGAAGCAGAAACATTATCATTTAAATTCAAAGGCCTGTGTTATAAAAATAGAAGTTCTGGTTTATTCTGGGTTTGTAATATTCTCTTCCTGAAGGATGTGTATTACCAGAGTGAAGTTCTGAACTACGAACCATCAGAGCACCTCTTTACTACCATTAGCTAACTACTCCCCTGGCACTGGGTTCCTCTCCTGAGGAGATGAACAAATCCATCTTAGGAAATAGATGTTCCTACTTCTTTAATTCTGGCCTTGGTGTGTACGCTTTCCAGCCATTTTGGACACAGGTTGAAAAATTATGATTTTGTGCAAGGGCGACGCACTCGGTGACTAGTAGCTTATCTTTGAAGCAGATTAGTTTGTAAAAAGGACATGCATGAAATATGATTTTTAATTAAAGGAAAGCAGACTGCAATGAATTCATAAGGCATAGCACCACTTTAAGCTCGCTCTCTCTTACCTCTCAATGTCTTTCATGAATAACTGATTAATTTATATGCAAAAGGAGGTTATGAAAGAAGAGATAATATTATTCCTATCTCGGGCATAGAGAGAACGAAGAAGGTAGGAAAGATCATGACCTTGAAAAAGGTCGTGGAGACTGCAGTGCAATGAAACCAGAAGCTCGGACTCTCGCTGCCTAACTAGAGAGCTCATTCTGCATTTCAACACTAGCATCTCCGGTGGGATGTCAGTCGGGCAGAACTCGGCCCTCAGGCAACAACCTCAGCAGCTGGCTGGGATGGTACATGGTGTTTCCCACATCCTCCTCGGCACCTGCCAGGCTCGCCCGCCTCCCACAGATCTCCGTGCCTGTCAGCTGTAGGATGGGGCTAAGGTTGTTAATAACCAACTTCTAGAACTTCAGTGCTCTATTTTCCCAAACCGTCAATAGTGTTACTCACTTTTTTTGATCTCTTCTAGCTTCTCAATGTATTTAGTCATACTGTTACCTAAAAAGAAAATACGATAGGCTTTTAATGGAAGAAAATGAGTTAATACTGTAAAGACAGAATGGAGTACAAGTATTCCCCAAGCCTTCCTATCCGGTTCTTATGGAATCATAGTAGGTAAATGGGCCTCATTAACACTCTTTTGGATTATACAGCCTCATTAAACGATGAGGAATCAAGGGGAAAGTATTGGCCAAATGTATTGAAAGCGTACATACCCAATAAACACTAGGAAGCCCCAGGCCATACAGATGATCACTTTATATAATCTTTTTTTTTTTTTTCTTTTTGAGTCAAGGCTTTCCTCCTCCTTTTATTCCCCCATAATCTTTCTGTGGGGAAGATGTGCCAAGGAGAAAGAAAGAAGCAATGATCTCTGAATGTCTAAAATGTGCCGCTGTGGCTACCCAAGCAAGCCCTTGCTCTCTGCTTAGTCTTTGTGGTTTCCCTCGCTTTCCTGAACTTGGTCTTCAACTATTCGTGCTGATGCTGCAGCCTGACCTAGACCACACAGTCTGTGCGCTAGTATTCACCATGGATTCCCACCAGTGCGGAGAGCACCAAGCCCTCGTGTTCTGCAGCCTGGTTCTACAATACCAGGGGCTAGCCAAGGTGGTTTGGAGAGTTTCCATACACTAAAACGGGGCCAGGATCCTTTTGGTTTCTGAACGAACTAAGGTCTAGTTCCCAAGCCACAGGCTATTATTTTTTACTGGGCATGCTTCAATTTGATTCAGCATGGCAAGCTCTGCCTGGCATTCGAAAGATACAGCAAAAAAGGGGAAAACTGTTTCAAAGTTTCTCATTTCTAAAATTGTGCTCCTAACCTTTAAGCCTTGGGAGGAGCTAGTCAGATTCAGTCCCAAGTTCAGATAAAAGAAATGCTTCCAATTAATGGCATGAACTGATGTTTTTTCAGGACTAGCCCGAGCTTTTCTTCATGTTTTAGGTCAGAAGTAGAGAGAGAAAATTCTTGCTCTGAAACCCAAAATACATTTTCAAAAAAACAACTTACATCACGTTATTATTATATCTTTACTTATGAATTCATCAGGGAATAAAATTCCAGAGTCAAAAAAATTTATTTTTTTCCACCTGAAGACACACACTCTCCGGATCAGGATGAGACAGCGGGAAACAGTATAGCCCTAGAGCCAGACTGTGGCCTTCCAAAAGCTCAGAGAGACATGACAGCAGTCAGGGAGGCTGAAAGGCCTGAGCCTTCTCAGGAGAGACTGAAAATGGCTAAGAGGTCCAAATAGCACCACAGACCAAGAGTAGAATCAAATATGATCTTTTCTAGGTTCTTCAGGCTGGAAGTGACCTGAGATGTGACCGGATCTCCGGAGTGGGAACCACGAATTCTTCCTCAATGCACACCCTTCTCCCCTGCAACTTTGACCTCAGGCGGGAACCCACTGGTCAATACAGTGGGGGAAGAAGACAGGGCAAACATTGTGCTTGCTCTTCGGTGTCCTGCCGTCTTACTCTGAAGCTATTTTACGTAATAGCTTTTGGTTACAAGTGTTCCTGAGTCCCCTACATTTGCGTGTTGCTGACCCAGCAGTTAGCTTCTTTTGGCGGGGCAGCTTTGGGCAGTCTCGTCAGAAAGCTAAGGTACAAAAAGGATCACCGATTTGTTCAGCGAATTAGTAACTAAGCCGGGCTGAATGTTCCCAACCTCCTGGTTTGTAATATGGCTCACAAAAACATACTCGTTGTGCTGTTTTAAAAACACGATTTCACCGTGAGGTAAATATGTAGGAAGTGTGACTTCCCTAATAGTAGCAGGTGGGACCCATTTTACGCTCTAAATTCCCCAAGGCACACCACACAAGGAAGACAATAGCCAGCCATATTTTATGGTCTTTATTATTAAAAACATCGCATTTCCAATCTAGAGCGGTTTCCACTAGCAAAGTGTCTGAAGGCCATTTCTCAATTAATCAATTATCAGCATTTTCCGAGTATTTACACAGCACTTCATCTTTGTACCAGCAGGGCCTCACACCAACCCTGTGAGGTAGGCCGGCGCTCCTACTGTCTGTTTCTCCCACTAAAGGAGAAGGCAGGCAAGTGCAGTCTTTTGCAGAGGTATACAAATATTTGGCAAAATTAAGCACAAATCTGAGAGGGCGACCGATAAGAAGGTCTTTTCATTATAGACATTCATTCTATCGAAGCAGGGGGGAAAAAGAGAAAATGGAGGATTTCTGCATTGTTGCAGCTGGAGAAAGACACTAGGAATAGCTGACACAAAAGATCCTTAAAAATGATTTTAGAAAATATGAAATGTAGTATTGTACCCCACTTCATAGAACGCTTACATCTTAACTACGCAGCTTATCTTACTGGATCTAATTGCATCTGAAAATAGGCTTTTGACTACCTTTTAAAAAGACTAGAAATGAATCAATTCTATAATTGGCTTATTTATAAATGCAGCTTTGTTTCATACAAAAGGAGCTTAAAAGACTATCAGCAAACCAGTTTTTTTTTTTAACTGAAATTACACATTACTGCTAGATAAATTTTCCGAGACAAGACTTTGATTAAAAAAAAAAAAATGTCAGTGGCTCCCCATTGCTTCCTGACTAAAGTTTAAACTCCTTGTTCTAGAGCTAAAGGCGCCAACGTCTTACCTGCCTCTTCAATCTTGCCTTAATTACTAAACTTGACAAACTCTCCGTTGGTCTTCTGTTCTCTAACATGTCATCTTGTCCATGTAATCATAATAGCTCACCCAGCTGGAAGTGACCTTTCCCTCCTCTGAACTTCTACAGCACTCAGCTCAGCACTCACAAGGCATTTATCATTATACCGCCTTATTTGTGTGCAAGTCTTATCTACCTTCTGATACTGAAAGCCAAAGACTATTTACACACACACACACACACACACACACACATCTCTTCCATTGTCTAGCATAAAAGGTACTTGGAATTATTTGCTAAGTGAAATATACTATGAAGATCTACTACCTGAAGAATCCTTATAATGAATTATTTTATAACACAAATTATCATGCCCCAATTTGGCTTGAGTTTTTGGACACCTGATTTTCTTTAAGCTATGCACAACTTGATTATTATTATAGTATATGTTATATACTACCTATGTAACATCCATATTATTTCAAGACTCGGATAACCTCGAAATGTGTAAGGTGGTATTTAGCTTCTACTTAGTTTATAATTTAAATTGCAAAAAAGATATATATATATAAAAGTTGTGCAATTAGAATCAAGAGAAAGAGACAGCCCAACTCTATCAACAGTGCTATGCAAGAGAGAGAACAATCGATAAATGGAGTGACTCGTTCGTTAGATTTTTTCCCTTTGTTTTCCTATAATTTAATAACATTATTCGCACTGAGTCAGTAAGGAAAGCAAGTGATTTTGAGCAGCAGTAATCTAAAGTGGGCAAGATTTATAAGGCACGAACTCAGTTGCTAAGAGACAACTCCATTGCTTTATTTTTCTTCAATATTTCCCTCCTCTACGGAGAAGTTCTTTTGGCTCAGAAGGAGCAGAAAGCGTGAAAAGCGGCACAGTGGTCTTTTGTTAATCTCAATAAGTTATATGAGTGTATAGTGCTTTCTGGTTTATAAAAGGCTTTTACATACATTTCTTCCTTTGACATAAAAAACAGAATTAAATACCAAATAAAAGTGAAGAGTACCTAGTCTGGTAATGAGTTTGAGCGCTTAAGATCAAGGCTATTAGCAAATATTCAGACAAAGTAGAGACTAAAGAAGAAAAAAGGACATGACTACTTTGTGTGGAGATAACAAGAGTAATGTGAATTACTGGATCTAATTGCATCTGACTACCTTTTAAAAAGACTAGAAGTGAGGCTAGAAGAGACGCAGTGGAGAAAAGTCTACAGAATTTTAGAAAACTGGACATTTGAAATTAGATTGGATAGAGATTGAAATGAGAGGCTAATACAGGCGATGAAAGAGTGTAGGACACTGACAAAGGGAGAGCCCTGTGGTTTGGAAAGTGTCCCTTCATCAGCCTGTGGTGCAGTGGAAGGGAAACCCAGAGAGGGTGCTTGAGAATACACAAGAACCCTGCGGTGGAGACCCAACAAAACGCCGTCAGGGATTTCGTCAGAAGCATAATCCATTCATGGCACAGTCTGGCAAGGCTGGGGAGCTGGTAAGAGACACCCAGGCACCTATGGAACAAAAGAAATATTTGAAGTTCAAAATGATTCTGGTATTTCTAGCTGTGGCTATATAGCAGTGTTTGAGTTTATAGGAGAAGTAGAGTCAGAAGCATAGAAATAAAAAATAACCTTTACCCAGGAAGAAGACAGCAGTCTTTGAGGAACTCAGGAGGTGATTTGGGTGAAGACTGGAGATACCACGCAATTCTTGATTTCTTGTGATTAACTCTGAATTGCTCACTGTTTGGTAAGAAAAGATTAAAGACCCATCTATTTAGCCTAGAAATGAGGAATGCTCACTCATACCTGTGCTTATTTTCACTGCTCTGACTGCAGAGCTTAAAAACATACCATAGACAGGGGCTCCTTACTCTCACGGGGCTATAAGGTTACTCTTCTGCTCTCTTAACCAGGACTCCTCACCCTTTGCACCTGTTGGCACACATATAAATGATAATATTTGAACAAAACGCTGGTGTAAATGCTGGCTGCCCCAGGCCCCCATGGCTACCCAGAGAGCTAACAGGACATGTATCGTGGCACATAACCAACCAGCCGTGGCACAACAAGTGGAAATGTTCTCTGAATACACGGGGAGAGAAGTCACAAAAATGCATAGAAAAAAAAAAACATTAAAATCCTCCTCTGAAATTGGGGCTCCTGGGTGGCTCAGTCGTTAAGCGTCTGCCTTCAGCTCAGGTCATGGTCCCAGGGTCCTGGGATCAAGCCCCGCATCAGGCTCCCTGCTCGGCGGGAAGCCTGCTCCTCCCTCTCCCACTTTCCCTGCTGGGGTTCCCTCTCTCGCTGTGTCTCTCTCTCTGTCAAATAAATAAATAAAATCTTTAAAAAAAAAATCCTCCCCTGAAATTGACTTTAAAATAATTTCTAAGTTTGAAACAACAAAAAAAATCGAACACTAGGATAGCCCCACACTGACTTTAAAATAGTTTTAAGCAATGAAGTACACTTTGGCCCTTCCAAAAGCTATTATAAAACTAGTTTGGGAGACTTCTTACTCCAGGAAGATGAAGTAGATGTATTTTACTCCTCCAGCTAAGTACAACAAAAACACTGGACAACCTACAAAATGGGAGAAAGTATTTGCAAATCATATTTCTGATAAGGGTCTAGTATCCAGTATATGTAAAAGAACTCTTATAACACAGCAATAGGAAAAAAAAAAAAAACAAGTACAAACTAGGCCAGTGATTTGAATAGGTATTTCTCTATAGGAGATACACAAATGCCAATAAGCACATAAAAAGGTGCTCAACATCATTAGTCATTAGGAAAATGCAAATCAAAACCACAATGCGATACCACTTCATATCCGCAGAGATGACTATAATCAAAATGATGGACAGTAACAAGCATCATCAAGGATGTGGAGAAAAAGAGCCCTCCTACATTACTGGTGAGAATGCAAAGTAGTGCAGCTGCTTTGGAAAACAGTTTGGCAATTCCTCAAAAAATTAAACACAGAGTTACCACATACGGTCCTATGTGACTCTTAGGTATATAACTAAGAGAATTAAAAGCATATATTCACACAAAAATTTGTACATTAATGTTTATAGCAGCATTATGGCCAAAAAGTATAAACAACCCAAATGTCCATTAATTGACGAGTGGATAAACAAAATGTAGAATATATTTATACAATAGAATATTATTTGGCAGTAAAAAATAATGAAGTATTGATACATGTTGCAACATAGACAGATCTTCAACCCATATGCTAAGTGAAAGAAGCCAGACACAAAAGGCCACATATTACATGATTCCTTTTATGTGAAATGTTCAGAATAGGCAAACTCACAGATACAGAAAGCAGATTAGTGGTTATCAGGGACTGGAAAAAGTAAGGAATGGGAAGTGATTGCTCTTGGATATTGGCTTTCTTTTTGGGATGACAAAAATGTTCTGCAATTAGAATGATGATGGTGTCACAACTTTGTGAATGTACTAAAAACTTCTGAACCGCTTAAAAGGTTAACAGTGTGAATTTTATGGTATGTAAATTATATCTCAATTTAAGAAAATAACATCAATTATAAAAAAAATTGATTAAAAAAAAACAAAACCCTGGACATTATTTATAAAATAGAAAAGAAGACTTGATAGGTTAGAGAGAGGAAGGCAGACTGGGGACCTCAGGACCCAAGAAATGGCATGATAGTTGGGTTACTTGGCTTTTTGTGTTATCTGTCTGTCTGTTTGTTTGTTTGCCTCATATATCTTAGACTTGGAGCTAAAGAAGCCAGGATCCAGAAACACCAATGGAGAGAGAGGGAAAAAAAAATCCCTAACAAAAGCCTACTGTCCCCACCCAAAGGCCTAGGGAAGGGGCAGCCTAGCAAGCCAGAAAACTGTCAGACAATAACTGCTTTACTCCAACCAAACATCACCCTCACCTGTCAGCAAAGGTTGGGGTGGGGGAGGGGGCGTGTGGGCTTGATTTCTATCCTTGCTGGGCTATGATGAGGTGACGTCAAAGCACCAGAAAGAGGATCAAGGAGGTGGGGATGGGAAAGTACTCAAAGGTATAATGGCTGAAGACTTCCCACATTTGACAAGAAACATAAATCTATAGATGTACATAGAAGCCCAGTGAATACCAAACAGGATAAACCCAAAGAAACCCACATCAAGATACATCATAATCAAACTTCTGAAAACTAAAGAAAAAAAGAACCTTGAAAGCAGCAAGAGAAAAAAATGACACCTTACCTATATTGGAAAAACAGTTCAACTGATAGCAGATTCTTCATCAGAAATCACGGCATCCAGAAGAAAGTGGAACAATATTGCTGAAGTGCTTAAAGGAAGTAATTGTCAACCTCGGTTCCCACACTCAGAGAAAATACCCTTCAGGAACGAAAGGAAATCAAGACATTTTGCAGATGAAGGGAAACTCAGAGGTTTTACCTTTAGGGTAGGGTTCTTTAGGGTAGGCCTTACCAGCAGACCTACCCTAAAGAATGGCTAAAGAAAGTTCTCTAATCAAAAAGGAAAAGTAGGGGCACTGGGCTGACTCAGTCAGTGGAGTGTGTGACTCTTGATCTTGGGGTTGTGAGTTTGAGCCCCACACTGGGTGTAGAGATTACATAAAATAAAATCTTAAAAAAAAAGTATTAAAAAAAAAAGAAAGGAAAAGGAAAAGAATGAACCTTGAAACCTCAGGAAAGAAGAATATAGAAAGCAAAAATACACATATGTACATTTTTTCAAGTGCCTATGGAATATATGCCAAGATAGACCATATCCTGAGCAATAAAATGAACATCAATGCATTTTTAAAGGTATTTTTAAAAGATTTTATTTATTTAATTGAGAGAGAGAGAGAGAGCATGAGCAGGGGGAGGGGCAGACTCCCCGCTGAGCAGAGAGCCTGACATGGGGCTCAATCCCAGGACCTGGGATCATGGCCTGAGCCGAAGGCAGACGCTTAACCGACTGAGCCACCCAGGCACCCCTAAAAGTCACCGTTTTAAAGTGTATAATTCATAATACACAATATCTTCCCGAAAACAGAACAAGAGGAAATACTTTCCAACTCATTTTATGATGCTGGTGTTACCCTGCTACTAAAACTAGACAAAGACAGTCCCCCTCCCCCCACAAAAAAAAATTACAAACCAATCTACCTCATTAATATAAACACAAAAATCTTTAGCCCAATAATAAATAGAATTGAGCAATATATAACAAGAGTTACACACCATGACTAAGTGAGGTTTAGTCCATAGATGCGGCAATAGTACAATATTTGCAAATCAAGGTAATCCACCATATTAACCAGCTAAAGACAAAATCATATAATTATATCAATTGATGCAGTGAAACCATTTGTTAAAATTCAACAGTTATTCATGATGGAAAATTCTCGGAAAAACAGGAATAGGAGGAAACTTCCTCAATCAGGTACAGCTAACCTTGTACTTGATGATGAAAGGCTGAATGTGTTCCCCCTAAGATCAGGGAAAAGGCAAGGATATTCACTCTTATCGCTCTTATTTGACATAGTTCTGGAAGTCCTAGCCAGTGCAATATAAGGCAATAAAAGGAAATAAAAGACATATACGGACTGGAAAGGAATAAATAAAACTTCTTTTCTGTAAATGACATTGCTGTCTACAGAGAAAAGCCCAAGGAATCTATGAGAAAAGCCCAAGGAATCTACATAAAAAAAAAAAAACACACAACCAAAAAGCCCAACAAACAAACAAACTCCTCTTGTACCTAATAAGTGACTCTAGCAAAGTCCTAGGATTCAGGAGAAACATACAAAAATCAGCTGTATTTCTATACATTAGCAATGAACACGATGACACCAAAATTAAAAAGACAATACCATTTACCATTGCTAAACAAAAAATGAAATACTTAGGTGTAAATCTAACAAAACATGTACAGGACACTTATGCAGCAAACTATACAGTGTTAATGAAAGAAACCCAAAGAAGATCTAAACACATGGAGAGACATACAATGGTCCCCCCCTTTATCCTCAGGGGATATATATTCCAAGATCCCCCCCATGGACACCTGCAACCACAGATAGTACCAAACCCTGTATGTACTGTGTTTTTCCTAAACATACATACCTATGATAAAGTTTAATTTATAAATTAGGCACAGTAAGAGATTAACAACAATAACTAATAATAAAAAAGAACAATTATGATACATACTACAATAAAAGTTATGTGAAAGCGGTCTGTTTCTCAAAACATCTTCTACCCTTCTTCTTGTGATGATGTGAGATAATAAAATGACTGCGTGATGAGAAGTGAGGTGAATGACATAGGCATTGTGATGTAGCATGAAACTACTTTCGACCTTCTGAGATACATCAGGAGGAGGAGTGTCTGCTTCCGGACCGTGGGTAATTGAAACTGGAAAGTGAAATCCCAGATGCGGGGTAGAGGGGACTACTGTACTATAGTAATGGATTGGAAAACTCGACATAGTAAAGATGTCAATTTTTCCTAAATTGATATATGGGTTCAGTGCAACGCCTATCAAAATCAGAGCAATGCTTTTTTCATAAATGTAAATGAGATTATTCTAAAATTACATGGATTCCAAAGGAATTGGAATAGCTAAAATAATGTGTAAGGAAAAATAAAGTGGGAGTAATCAGTCTAACCAATTTTAATCAAGCCTGTGAGATATTGGCAGAGGGATAGACACATAGATCAATGGAACAGAAGAGAGAACCCAGAAATGGATCCACATAAATATGCCAAACTCTTTTTTGACAAGGTGAATGTGCAAAATTCAGTAGAGGAAAGGCAGGCTTTTAACAAATGGTGCTAGAGCAACTGGACATCCATAAGCAAAAAGTTAACTCTGATCTAAGCTGCATAAGCAAAAAGTTAACTCTGATCTAAGCTGCATA